AAGAGAAGAAGAAGTCGAATTAATCACCCTTCTCCTCTAACCCTATTTTTTATTAATCTCTAAAAAATTGATGATGACAAGTATACCCTTAAGTGGGCGGTCAGCATGGCAGTTACATAAAGAAAGTAAAATAAGAACAAATAACAGGCCCATTATGTGAGGCCCATCAACATAAATAAAAGATAAAATAAAGGATATCACATGAGAGGCTGTTAGGGCCCATTCGGCCCAGTCTCTTTACACGTGCAGTTAACTGATCTAGGGATGCATGAATCAGCTTCAAGAAAGCCTAACTAGGCTCTGGTACCAAGTAGAAATCAGCAGAAATATAAAAAATTATAGAAAGAGAAGGAAGAAAGGAAAATTTTGTGAGAGAAGAGAAGAGAAGAGAAAGAGAAAGAATGGAGAAAAGGAAGAGAAGCCAATAATTCTGGCCGCCCTCTCCCATTAGCTTTTATACTTTAAGTAAAAACAAGTACAAAGACAAATTGCCCTTAATAGGCGGCTGGTGCTTACAACTTTAAAAGAAAGATAAACTACTACTCTAGCAAGTTCTAATTAATAGACTGTGGTCCCAACAGGATAACTAAACAAAATAAATAAGAAAAACAAGCTATTAACAGCAAAATCCTCAACACCAAGCAGATCAGAGGATGTTGATAAAAGAGAATGGAGATGGTGCAATGATGCAGTTTTTCTGTTAAGTCTTCTTATAGCATGCTGGACAGGGGGGAGTGAGTTCCCTTGGGAAAGTATATGGTGTAGTTGCCCCAATGAAGGTTTCTTTCCTTGTGTGGATAGCCTCTCTTAACGGATGTTTAACCAGAGATAATTTATTTTTGCATTGTTCATTTGTTAGAAGGTTGTGGTCTAAATTGTTGGACACTTTACGGTTTCATGTTTATTTTCCAAAACCTGTGGTGGAGCTTTTAACTAGTTGGCAGTTGAAGGGTTTGCACAAAAAAGGAAAAAATAGTATAGAGAGTGCTGCCTTTGGCAATTTTTAGGACTGTGTGGATGGACAAAAAAAAAAAAAAAACARAATTTTTAAAGATTTTGGGAAAACAGAAGAGGCAATTGTAAAGGATTTGTGGGTAGAATTCATTCTTGGGTTACAGTGCACAGATGTTTTACAGATATACCGTACAGCTCTTTTTTGAATGTTGATTTGTTATTTTGTAACGGTTAATCAGTACTTTTTGTACAGGTGTGGTAGTAATGGCACAACTCCTTGCTGTGTAGGTGTGGGGGTGTCAATAGAACACTTTACCTTTTTTCAAACAAAAAAAAAGGGAAACTGGAACTAGTTGAGGTCAACCAAAGTAGATGGTCACAAGAATAAGGTGCTCAGAACTTTAGTCATCACAGTTTTCTGCATACTATGTCTATTATTTTAAGTTTGGTTGATTTATATGTCATCTTACCCGAGTTAATAAAAGGCTGAGAAAAGTCGTGAATAGGTTTTATCTTCCATTCTTTTATAAGATGATCAATATCATATTACTATTTTACTTGGTTTTAATATTAAAGAAATAGTGGCGTCTTACACCTTTGTCTTTGTAGGAGTTTTCAGACTGTACTAGGCATGAAGAAAGGGGTAATTCATGAAGAAAAATTATAATGAGTGATTATGCAATATTTGCCCCAGTAACTATTTTGTAATTTGAATATTTCTAGTGTTAATACAAAAACATCTCTCTCTCTCTCTCTCTCTCTCTCTCTCTCTTGGAAAGTTTAACCTAATACAAATCATCTCTCTTTTGAGTGAGAGATAAGTGTGTGGTTTGTAGTCTCAAGTTTTCTAGTATCTCTTCCAACTTTCTTCTTTCTTTTTTCTCTTCTCTCACCTCTTTTATTTGTAAGTAAATAAAATTTAACAGAAGTACAATCCAGACAGTGATGAGAAATCACCCAAAAAAGGAGAAAAGATAAACAAAAAAGAATAAAAGGAAATACAATACATGAACCCACCATTCAATTCCAAAGAAGACCAAAAATCAATCCCAAATAAAATTCTTGATGCACCCAGAAATTCTGGAAGAACCAAGTTTCTTTTTCTCACCTTACTCATGACAAGATGGTATTAGAGCCGGTAAATTTTAGTGAAGACAATGAAGATGACAACAATGATGACTCCAGTTATGTTAGTTAACTTCAGATGTGTTTGTTGAATCCTCTGTGTTTCTTGATGTCCATATTTTCCTTTTCTGTTATATAGCTCAAATTTATTTGTTCTTGTTATCCTGGCTCCCTATCTCTGTCATCTATTGTATTAGAACAAATTGAGTTCGCCGTTTAGTCTGATTGCTGCTCTAGGTCTCATATTATTCTTTGTTTTTGTTCTTGTTAGTAAAACCGATTCAGTATGTTATTGGTTGATCAGCTTATCTTGTGATTAAAAGTTGAGTTGCAAACAGCTATATATTGCCTCCAAGTGACAAGAATGAGTTTTAGTTTTTCTTTGGTGTTTGAGTGGTTATTGAAAGGAGAAAGTTCATTTGGTATGTTGTTTCGTTACCAAGATGATGGAATTTCAAATTTGAACTTTAATGCATAGGGTGAGTAGTCTTATGGCTGAGCAATATGTTTTTTGCTCATGCAAATAACTGGTTCCAATAGGTACATGTTGGGTGCACAAAAACTATTTGATGAAGGGTTTTCGAGATTATGTGACCTTCCAACTCTTGCAGCACTTTGTCATTGGATTCTTAGTGGCATATGTTGCAGTGGAAGTGTTTGGTGAAATGCTCAAGTGTCTTCTACAGCAATGCTCTCGCATCATGTACAATATAGAAAAGTGCCAAGAGGTGATTAGGACATTTGCCTATTTGAGTATTAAGATCTCTGATTATATATGGTGATCCTTCTCTCATTTAGCAATGGTGGTGGTTTGAATTTTATTGTGTTGGTAGTATATATTATAGAAAAGTGCCAAGAGGTGAACTTGATGATTGGCTATGTCTTGGGTAAGAGCCATGGGCCTCCAGGAATCCTGTATTGGTTGTCTTGGGTAAGAGCTGAAATTGCCACCAAGAGTGCATTTAAGCTAATTGAATCCCTGTAGGCATGGTGTAAGAGTTGGTTGTTGCCATACTTGGAATCAAGTTACCTTGTTTGAGAGTAGCCCCGGAAGACTAGTTATTCGTGTTGCTAACTTAAGATGGGTGTTGGAGTGTTCAAACAGTACTATACATGAATAAAGGGGTAATTTGGAAAGAAAAATTATAATGAAGGATTTTAATGATATATTTGCCCCATAGGGACTATTTTGTAATTTGGGTATTTCTAGTGTTTATATAAAGCACCTCTATCATTTGTGAGAGAAATAAGCACGTGGCTTGTAGCCCTAAGTTTTCTCTTCTCTCATCTCACTCATAAGTCATGGCAAGAAGTTTGGGATCTGTTAGTCCCTGGGCTGAGAAAGCTAGAATTAGAAAAGAAATTTCCAGAAATAAAAGAAAATAAGAGTTTTTTCACAGATGTTTTTGGCTGCCAAGGGGAAAGCATTAGAAAGTAGAAACTTGGAATTATAGGGTTTTCATTAATTAATTGAAAATTAAAGAACAAGCTTCTTTTGGAAAACTAGTAAGTTCTTAGAAAAGTAGCTTTTTTAGGTTTTAAAATTTTTCTGACAATCAAATGTCTACAAGGGAGCCATTTTATTTTTTTGTTGTAGGTTGGCTCAGTATTGCTCATTCCTATTGCCTATTCTGGAAAAGGATATTTCAGTTTTTTTTCAACCACTAATTTAAAAATAAAAAAGAACTTGTGTTATTTTTTTTATAATGCTTTCTTTGTTGCCAAGAGCACTATTCAAATGTCTAATATTTTATTTGTTGTATTTTTTATAATGAATGAAGTTGGTAGAAATCCCACATGCCACTGGATTCCTCTCAAGAACCACACTTCTTCAAATACTTATTTCTATGATTGGGTAAGTAAACATCATGATGTTGAGTTATGGGTTGCTTTTTATTTTAAATACTTTTAAGGATTCCTCTTCTTACAAATCATTTTCAGCAACATATCAGTGCAACCAATTTTACGGTCAAGAGCAATTATGATAAGTGGGAGGATACTTTCAAAGGAGAATACTTTTATGGTCATCCATGAATCTGGTGAGGACTATAAATTCTTACACTTTCTAGATAATTGTCACTTGGTGAGTTGTAAAGACTTTGTGGTTAACTTGACTCTATGAACATAGGACCTCTGGTTTTCTAGGTTAGATAAGATAATATCTCTCATCTTTTTTAGCTCAGACCTCAGAGTGATATGTACAATGGGAACAATGATATATATATTGTTTATATTCTGCATTTAACTCCTGTAAATTATAAGTTATTGATCCTCTGAGTGCTTCCAATGACTTATAACATTTTTTCATGGAAATGAATCACTTTTTTTTATTCAACATTTCACTGCATAAATTATAATTAGAGTGTATGCCTCCAATGGCTTATAACATTTTTTCATGGAAATGAATCACTTTTTTTTTACTCAACATTTCACTGCATAAATTATAATTAGAGTGTATGAGTTAGCTTTAATTCAAAAAGCACTATTGTGGTTTTGCTAGTTCTAATGTTCTGATGGAAAAGCAAGAAAACAGAAAACAGGTCATTTCATTGGTTGTTACCAGTGTTTTAAAATTGTACTGGACCAGACAGTCAGCCTGTGCCCTTCCTAATGGAGGAGTCTAGAATCTTACCTAACCAAGCAGTTAAGAAGCTATACAACTGTACGCACCATGTTGGAAGAACTGAACTTTTATATACTGACCATTATTCAACTTTTCTTTATCTAAATTTTTTGATAAAATAAAAGATCCAATGGTTATAGAGCATTGTGCAAAAGATTTATGTCACAATATCTAGTATCGGACTGCACCAATACAGGATACGCTACGACTGCAGGTGTATCCTGCCAGTTGTGCGTATCAGTCCAATATGCCACCGTACGTATCGCATAGTATCGGCCAATATGCGCTGATACAGAAGTGTATCGACCAGCGTCTCACAATAAAAAAACGGGGGGAGCGTGACTCGAACCCAAGTTGGTGAATGCCCACTGCCCAGGCACGCATGTACATTAACCACAAAGCCATTTGTTATTTCATGTTAATAAAGTGTAATAAAATAACTTTTATTAAACTTGATGTTTACATGCAAATAAAAAGCAACATACATTTATTTTCAAAAACTTCAACTATAAATTAAAAAGCACAATATTCAAAATTAGTATTTTATAAATCAATGGACTAAATAATTTATAAAATCCACATATATATATATATATCAAAAAGATGAATTTTAATTTCAAAAATTTATACAAATAAAATATTCATAATAGAATAATTATTTTAATACTTAAATTTTATAAATTTGCATATGGTATATATATCTTAAATTTTTATAAATTATTAATTAATATTTTAATTTGCATTAAATAACAATGTATTTATTATTTACAAAAATAAAAGTATTGTTTACAAAGTACTTGAAAATATAATATAAATTGAATCTATCAAATCCATTAATCTACATTTTATATAAAAAAAAAATTTAACTTCGAACTTTTATAAAAATAAAATATTAATAATGGAATAATTATTTTAGTAATTAAAATTTATGAATTTTCATTTGATATGCATTTTCAAAATTTTAATAGATTTGATATTTTTTAAGTTAAGATTATATATTCTTATAAATTATTAATTGATATTTTAATTTACAATTTATAATAACATATTTATTGTTTACAAAAATATAAATATTATTTATCAAACATTTAAGAATTAAATTTTAGTTTAATTTTTTGTTAATGTTAAAAAATAAAAATAGAAAAAATGCTATAATAATTCATATATAATAGTTGCTTATGCTTTATGCCTTACACTTTAATAGATAATAAAATAATATTGGCGTTTTGCATGTATTAATTTCTAAAAATCTATATAATATTTGCCTTGGACTCTTGATTGAAGCATTATTAATAAAATTGTATAATATCTACATGCCCTGTTATATTAATTATAATATATTTCTTCATATGTATATATATCATTTAAATATACAATTGCTATATATTTATATATTATTTATAGTTGTTTTGACATTAAACTTAATGCTATTAATATATTTATGGAATTTATGTGCATTTTCTTAGCATATCCAAGCGTTTCCATGTTTTTTTTTGTTCGTATCCATGCGTTTCCCAAGCATATCCCTATCCGTATCCAAGTTGTCCGATACGATACCCGATACTGATACTTTAATCCTTGGTTAAAACTCAGACAAAACAACAATATAATATTTGCACATTGGGGCAATTAATTAAATTTCTCAAAAAGGAAAACAATACCTGGTCAAGAATAAATGCAGAATAAGAGAAAGAGAAGACAGTCTTATAGCTCATAAAAAAATGCAAATAAGAAACAGAAATAAAGAGTAAAACAATAAATAGAATCCTGCCAGTGCAAAGAATGTTGAAGTGTTTTATGGTCTTGCAAAATCTCATTGTTCTTGCATCCATTCCAACCAGAGTTAAGAATCAGTGAATGCATTGTCATTCTAATAAAAGAACATCCCTACTCTGTTTGCATGTTGAGAATCAATTTAATTTCTTGAACTTTAGAAAGTATAAACAATCTAAAAAGAAGAGAGAACCAATCCTTTTGAATTGATTAATCTAGGAACCTAGTTGAATGTGGGGTTTAATTAATGATCTCTTCATCAATTGAGTAAATGATATGCTGTATTCTTTGTCATACCATTCAACTGCACATTTGGTTTAGCATTTTTTATTTCCTAGTTGCATTTTTTTTTTTCATTATGAGAATATGAGACATGAGTTTTATCAGTTTTGACCTTTGAGGTTGAATTACTGTGTAACCACAGCAGTGTTTCCTCTGGATTTTAGCTATTAAAGCGGCTGTTTCGGCCATCAGTGGAAGGTTGGAATCACTGAAGGATCAAGATACAGATGAATGTGAGACTGCACTTGAAGCATTAGGTCAAATTGGTTTATGTAAGTATGCCATTGAATGCTGCAGTATAGGGAAGTTACCTGTTGAAAAATTTTCCTCTTGTATTAACATGCATGGTTTCTTCTTGATTGCAAATGTGCCAGGATTATAGTTTCACAAGTTCTTAGTTTCTGTAATATGTTAAATCATTGGGTCATACCATTTACATGACTACATGAGATAGCTTACAATTGTAATTGAAGCATTCACCTCTTCTTAAAGACAGTTCAAAAATTCAATTCATGAATTTTTTTTTCTAGATTAAACCACTTGTGGTGCTTGATGGAAATATTGGCATTAGGTCAATAAAAGTATAACTTCTTAGCTCTATTCTTCACATTTAATTTTATGGAAGGTAGCTGGCTATTGTTCCATGCCCAGAAAAAGGGGTTTTGTTTTTTCCATTTAAAAAAAAAAAAAAGAAAAAGAAAAGAAAAGAGCTCTCTTTTGATAGTTGAAACTTATTGTTGAATGATTAATTTTTTTGGATAATTGTTGATATTCAGCAGTTTCTTATGATTTTCTTGTTTATAATCATTAGTTAGTGTTATTGGGTCTGAGGCCCATTAGTTTATGTTGTTTTTTTGGAGATGTTTTTATGTTATGAACAGTAGCCGCCTCATTAAGGGCATTTTAGTCTTTGTAATCAATCTTTTTTCCAAGTATACAAGATAATGAGTGAGGTGGCTAGATCATTATTGGCTTCTCCCCATCTCTTCTTTTCTTCTCACTAAGATATCTCTCTCTCTTTCTTCTTTCTCACTGTTATCAAATCAGATTATTGTTTTTTCTTTTCTACTATAATAAAGTATGTTTTTCACACTATTCAAAAATTCAACTGGACTTTCTAGATTAAGTTGTTTGTGGCACTCAATGGGAATTTCATATTTAACTTTATAGAAGGTAATTGGTTATTGTTCCATGCCCGTAAAAAGTGGCTTTGTTTTGATAGTTGAAGCTTACTATTGAATGATTTGTTTTTTCGATAATGAAGTAAAATTTTTCACACTGTTCAAAAACTCAATCAGACTTTTCTTTCTAGATCATGTCATTTGTGGCACTTGATGGGAATATTGGTATTAGCCTATTCAGGTTTTTCAACATCCATTTATCAGCCATCCTTGACTCTTGATGCTTTGAGAATCAGAAGCCCTAAAAATGTGTTATTTTTGGTTCGAAAGGACAACTTGTTAAATCTCAAGAGAGATGAAATGATGGCTAATCTTACAGTGCACATGAGAAATGAAAAATAAAACCTGATTCCACTAGAAAACACCCTTAGGTACTTTGTTAAATCTCTAACAATTGATTTTTTAGTAACAGTGTCATTGGTACCTGATGTTTTATTTTAAATTTTTATTACAAATTTCACCTACAAGCTTTCCATCATAACAGATGAATGAGAAAACAAGTTTTGCTCTTATTTATTATTTACTTTTTTTAGACGGAAAAGGGATCTGGATACATGTTAGATAATTTGTGGTAAGAATGTTACAATGTTTGTCTACCAAGGCTTAACTCCTTCAGACAGTACATAAAAACTTTATAGTTGAATTCTGCACTTTTTTTGGTTACATCCTCATATTTTCAAATACGTACTAGTTTAATTTCTTGTGATTATGATGATTCGAATTTGTTTCTGATTTCTTTTGAATCCCTGTGCTTGATATTTTTGAACCCTTTAAGTTGATTTCTTTGTGCTGTTGATGTTTCCAGCCCTTCAAGGAGCTGAATTGTTACTCTCAAATTCATCATGTGTGGCAAAACATGTTGTTGATGTAGCTTTTGATCACAATGGTCGAACCAAACAGCTTGTGAGCAGGCCTTTTCCTTTCTAATTTGATTTTATATGTCCATAATTAGTTCCCCTTGTGCTGTCTATTCTGAAACATGTCTGGAGTATAAAGTATTTGGATGAATCTGTTCTGAAATAAATCCAGATGTAGCTAATTATGCCAAAATATTTTTTTCTAGGTCAAGTTTTCCTTACACTTCTGGGTGTATGTACAGTATACTCCTTAATTGAACATGATTAGGCCTTAGAATGTGCCCGTGTCCATATAGTTCTGTTCCTTTCCTTAAAACAGTTATTTCTTATAATGATTGGAAGGATTACAAAAAGCATGTTTCAGCAAATCCACATCCCTTTTCTATCCATTTCCTGTCTTGGCATTCTTAGAACTTCTTTTTTGGTATTCGGTGTTATGCACCATTAACAACTTCCCCCTGACCCCTTTTTCCCCAAAGTGCTGGTTGCGGGATTTGATTCCGTGTCATTGCTGGAACAAACCAGCTAACACACCAACAAGCCAGCCCTTGGTTGGTCTTAGAACTAAAGATTTACAGTTGATGCCCCTGGCTATGTGTTAATATAAGCATTCCCCCCGCCCCCTTACTTTTATTATGGATAAGCTAGATTACTACATCTAATTGAGTATACTAGTTCATCCCATTGCCATAAAAGTAGAGAAGAAAGGAAGATAGTATGGTATGAGGTCTTGAACCTAGTGGTTCATTCACAGTTAAGTCATCCTATGAAAGCATTAGTGATGATGAGCAAAACTGCAGGTTAAATAGAACCCCAAGGCAATTTTTCAAGATGAATGTCCTCCAAAAATCATTTTTTTAATAATGGCCATAATTAATAAGCTATCATTAGCCAAACAAGGGGTTTCTCGGGACTGCCTTTTTTGGACTACCTTGTAACTTATTCAAACTGTTTTTAAGAATCTTCGTTTGGCTTTTCTGAAGAGGTCGCACCCCGTGCCTCTTCTTGTGTCACTTGTATCTCCTATGTTCTGTGATTAATAAATTTCTTCATTTATCAAAAAAAAAAATTGTTGAGTGAAAGAGGGATGAATTTTGATAGGGGTTGTCCATACTGTGGTGAAGAAGAAGATACAACTCATATACTTCTAAAATGCCCATTTTCAAAACAAATATGGATATTTGTTGAAGCCCAAATGAAAACTCCACTTCATAATGAAAATCTAACAGAATGATATAGGCAATGGAAATTGAATGGACTGGGAAAGAGTACAGTTTCTGCTATGGAAAATTTGGAAAAACACAACTACACAAGTGAAAAAACTTTTAAGAAAAAAGATCAAGGCCCAGCATGGGTTGTCGAAAAAGCATGAATGGCCTATCTGAATGCTTAGAAAGCTAATGAAACTCTCAACATGAAAAAAGTTTGTAAAGGGATAAAATGGTCCCTCCTCCAATGGACGCTATAAAGATCAACTTTGATGCTCCAAGAAAAAAAAAAGGCCAGTGTGCGTTTGGTTTGATAGCTCATGATTCCAAGGGAATTATTAAAGCATCCAAAGCTGGCCAGCTGGGTATCACATCTATGAATGTATCTGAGTTTTGGGGCTGCATTGAAAGAACATGACCATGCAACTTGAAGTGGATACATGAAGTCTGGATGGAAGGTGATTCAAAATTAGTTATTGATAGATCCCAGATATGCCAAACTTTAGCAGAGGATCGCTATCATATACTTGTATCTAAGAATTTAGAGATAAAGTACACTCGTTCTTGGTGTTAAGGAATTCAAGCTGCTGACTGGTTATCTAATGTAGGTCATCATGAAAATTGGTGTTTCTCTTCTAATGCTCCATGGAATCTAAGGTATATTTGGTTAATGGATTTATGGGACATGCTACCCCTGTGTTGTGTGGTCCACTTTTCCTTTTTACCAAAARAAAAAAAAAAAAAAAAAAAAAAACAGAGAGTAAAGGATAACATGATATAATGAGAATACCTATCAAAAAATGATAAAAAATATTATAGAAAACGTCAGAGTAATGCTAGTATATCTATTTTCAAATGCTTAGGGAAACACAAGCCAAACTGTGGAATAATTTGCTAGAAGCCCTAAATGGTGAACAATTATTTTGCAATACAAGATTCTTTTCCAAGCTTTTCTTTTTCTTGCTTTTCTTTATACTTTCTCTTGCTTGTCCTGATAAAGTTCTTAAATGGCAAATAGGCTGCACTACATTCTCTTGGAAATATAGTGGGAGAAAGCCGACCAGATGAAAGCATAATCCTCAATGATGAGGCAGAAGAAAGTCTTCGACACTTGATAAATGAAACTGCTTCGAAGAGTTTGAAGCTGACACCATCAGTTAGTAATTTTCCTTGTCCTTGTGGTAGTATTGACCCAGTTTTAATTTTGTTTACATCTTTTTTAGTCCTTCACTGAAGAAGGGAAATCATTATTGATCATAATGAAAATGAAGAAAAAAAGCATGTATTTAGTCATATTCCATGCATGCACCTTCCACTGGTTGTGCATTGATATTCAATGAATCCATGTGTGACTAGTGGTCACATTATTCAGAATTCTGTATAAATGTTTGTACATCCTTTTGTGTGGATGCATTTACTGTTGCTTGTCTTCATTTATTACTTCCATATAAAGCCATATTTTTCTGCTACACTTTAACCAAATTAGTAAAGCATTCTCCAGGGACTACTTCTATCAGTTTTGCAGCAGGATGCAGAAATTCGTCTGGCGGTAAGGACCCATTGCTTTTTTTTGGCTGAAGCCATCCATGTTAAACTAAGTTTGTTTGCAATGCAATTTCATTTGCATTAGTACAAATCAGAAAAGTGCAAATTATGGTTCACTTTTGCATCAGGTTTGCTTTTGCTTTGCTTGAGTCTTATTTTACTTCATTTATACTGCAAATGTACAAAGCAAAGTAAAATTTAAAACAAAAATGAATCAGAATTTGCATTCAACTCATTTGACTCCTATACTTTTGCACCAATGCAAATTAAATTGCATTGCAAACAAACTAGGCTCAAGGAACAAATATATTAGAAAATCATTGTGTAAAACATAGTTGTCAAGGCGACGCCTAGGTGGGCACCTAGATGACAAGGCGCCCTTGGAGGCTTGCCTCGCCTAATTGCCAAGCAGTTAAATACTAATTTCTTTTTATTACTTTCTTATTTGTTAGGGTTTAATCAACACAAACTTTGCTAAATGCTGTACTGAACCCTCAAAAACTTCAAAACCTGAACCAATAAGGGAGAACTTAAAATGTTGTCTAATCAACACATTTTCTTCTTCCACATCTTTTTATTTTCTTCTTCTTCCTCTTCTTCCACCCTTTCTTTTCTTCTTTTCCTATAACAAAAATAGGGGTTCATCTCCTATATTTTTTGAACTTTCTTTTCTTTCTTCCTTTTCTTCTCATGAATATGTTGGAATATGTTGATTTTTGATACTTTAACATGATATATGTTAAAGTATGTTTATGGAACCTAGGGAACTACCCTAGGATATATGTTTTTTACTTAAAAAAATTCCATCGCCTAGGCGATAGGTGACAAGGCTATCGCCCTAGCGCCTTTTGCCAAGCCTTTGAACTTTCTATTCTAAGATTGGCATTTTGCTTCTTTCTTATTTGACTACAATGCTCAAACAATAATCCTCCCTCCCCTCCTTTTAGGCATGGGAATTTACCATTTCATTTTCATGACCCCTCCTGGTTGAGTTGTAAATAGCAACTTAAGCTTTGTGGGGTGGAGGCATTTATTGAAAGGTGATACATTTCATTTCGAACATTTGACACTTAAGCCTATCAACATAAGAGTGCGTTAAGTGGAAAAAAATTTAATGGCTATCAAGTCATTTAGAATTTACAGTTGGTTGGTTGAACAAATGGCACATATCAAACTAGTTAATTATAAATTGACCATAAAATCTGAAATGATGAGGGCATGACCTTACTGACTAAAGCAGCCATATCTCCTTAGTTCACATTCTTGCTAGATAATATTCTATTACGCTAATTTTATGTGAGGTTCATATTTTCTAACATTTGCAGGCTTATAGGTTGATAACCGGACTGGTGGCTCGGTCATGGTGCTTGATTGAGATTTGCTCAAAACAAGAGATAATTAAAATAGTGATTGATCCACATATTGAGACTAAGAAAAAGGGTTCGCTTCTCTTCATTGTTTTATCCCGGCATCACTTCTTTGTGTGCATGAGAATTTATTGTTGCATGTTGTGTTCCAGTTCATTTGCTTACGTACATATATACTTGTTATTGTTGCATTGAGAAGCAGAAGTATATAAATAAAATTGTTTCTTGTTCTCCATGTAGCTAGACCACTGAACTACTTTTGCTATGATTACTATGCAATTGTCCTTTTGTTGACTAATATAAAAGAGAAGGGATTAGTATCCAAGTAATATTACTTGCTTAATAGAATATTCTAGGATCTCTTTGAGCCCTCTAGCCAACCTAGACCGTGAGCATCCTAGGCAAGCATCCACAAATCTGTTCCAAGAATTCCCTTGCATGGGACAAAGTGCTGTTCAGTAAGTCAGCAAACATCACTTTGATGAATTGGGAAAAGGGATCTTAGCAGAAGATCAATCTGCACTCTTTTCAGAGGAAGCCTTTCTCTGGGAAAATTACCCGAGTACTTAGTGACGATAAGCTGCAAATGATGGTGATTTCATGCACAAGAATTTATTCTCTGAAGAAGCATGGTTAATTCTTAACCCACCATGTAAAGTACCTTATATTGATATCTTCTGCCCACATCAGTCCTAATATGCGCAAGTGATAATAGTGTCATAGCAGGAAAAATTTATTCTGTTTATGTTGAACTATTTACACTTTTGAAACCTAGGTTTATCAGAGGAAAAATCAGAAAGGAACCTTTTACAATGTGCTAATCCAAGCACACGAGTTATAAAAATTAAAAAAAAAAAAAAGATAAAATGGAAAAAGGGGGACAAAGACAGAATTTTCAGTCAATAATAACACTGTTTACTTGGTCTTATAAGATCAATGTAGAAGAAAATAGAATCCTAAAGGCCAACTTATCCGGCTTCAGCTGGAATCTGGGTTTAAGAAGGGATGTCGGGGATACAGAGTTAGATAATATCTCAGCATTATTATCCTCCCTTGAAGGGGTTTTCTTGGAGCCATCAAAGACAGACAATAGAATTTGGACACTCACTCCATCGGGTGCTTACACTTGTGCCTCTTTCTTTAAGGCCCTTTTACCTTCTTCTCCTGTTGGACTGTCATTCCCTGTTAAAGAAGTGTGGTGTCAACCTATACCTCCAAAGGTTGGGAGTTCTGTTGGGAAGCCTTCCTAGAAAAAATTAATACAGGAGATCTACTTCAAAGAAAAAGACCCAATAGTTGTTTGTCCCCTCACTGGTGTATTCTTTGCAAATCCAATGGTGAGTCTGGATACCATTTACTAATTTCTTGTCAGTTTGTTAAAGTTATTTGGGAATGGTTTACTTCTTTGTTTGGGTGCAGGTGGACTCCCCCTCTAAATGTGCAAAGCTTATTCACTTCCATGCCCAATGGGCAAACCAAAAGGGCCAAGATCATGTGGAGATGTGTAAGGGCTGCAGTATGTTGGACTGTTTGGGAGGAGAGAAATTCAAGGACATTCTTAGATAAGGAGAGAAGCTTGGAAGTAATCCTGGAGACTATACAAATAAGGGTGATACATTGGCTGAAAACTTTGGACTTGTTTACAGTGTTCTCAGTTGATGAGATGAAAAGACATTGGAAGGAGATTACGGATTCAATTCTAGCTAAGAAGACTTCAAGTTCTTGCTGGACACCTCCACCTCATGGGTTTACCAAACTGAATTTTGATGGCAGCAGCATGGGCAATCGAGGGCCCTCTGGAATAGGGGGAGTGCTAAGAGACGAAAAAGGGAATCTATTAGCTTTTTTTTTTTTTGGTCCAATTGGGGTGGGTGATTCCCTGAGGGCTGAGATCTTAGGAGCTCTTGAAGGGATACAAAAGGTCAAGGAAATGCATATTAAAAAATTGATCATAGAAGGTGATTCTGAAATAGTGGTGAATTGGCTAAAAGAGGACTGTTCTATGCTCTGGAAATACAACAACGAAAAGAGGAAGTTCAAGTGGCTCACTAAGGACATGGAAATTCAGTGTTGGATAAAAAGAAGTGCAAATGCATTGGCAGACGGGCTAGCTAGGCAGGGGGTGAATAGAAACACTATCTTTTGGGCTGTTTTGTAATTGTTTCATGGTCTGGATGTAGTTTAGATAGTAGGGAGTTAAGAATTTTTAGCTCCCTCCTTTGTAATTCTGAACTTATCAGTCATGAATAAAATTCATTGTTATTGATCAAAATAACATTAATTCAATTGTTCATCTAACTTAAGTAAAAACTTAAAAATGACTAGAAACTTCCCTAAAACAAAGGTTTCTGTAACAAACCTGTGTCATGCCCATAAAGTGGCTAAAATTTGTTCAAATCATGTCTAGATAAGCTTTCTAACAACACAAGTTAATAATCAAGACATTTAGACATGTTTTGGCATATAAAATTGAGGCTGAAGTTAAACTGAAAGATCATCTAGAATGTGATTCCAGATTCCATGCTTCATAACCTGTCAGATGCTATGTTCTCTCTTCTTGTGATGATCTTCATCCTTACATTTGGTACATTATAAGAAGCCATAACCCCCAAATATCTATTCTATGCTATAATTTCTACAAGATAATTTTTGATAAGGGTGTTAATTTAGTGACTAGTGTCATATACATATTTTTCTTTTTTGTTAGCATATTTCTGGTTATATCATAATTGATGAATTTCTCAATGATTACAACAATGTTATTATGAGTGGAAAAATAGCATGTTATGACATTATAGTGACAATAAAGTTAATACCTGCTATTTATGAATATGTCTGAGCAACTCACAACCTCCTCTAAAAAATGATTTAAGATACATCCTTGTGTGTTTAAAATCATGTGGAGTAGAGTTGGAAACACGTCTCAGTATCATTGGTCTTAATATATTATAAAATCACAGGGAGAAATGTTAAATGAAATGATTTGTGTTTACTTAGAATACTACTCATTTTGAGGCATGTTGCTGTAGAAGCATTAGCCCAACACAACTGATAAATAAATATAGTAGTTGAAGAAGAAGAAAGAATGAATGAATATATAAACAAAGAACATTAGCCCTACATTAGTTCAATTCATTGACGCCTATAATTTAACAGTGGATATAACACTGATGACTGAACAGAGTGGAATGGAGGTACATTATTCTTGTAGTTGGCCCCATGTAGTTGTGACAAGGCTTAGTTGAGTTGACTCAAATAGCTTGTTGCTGCAAGAGATAGCAGAAAAAGCAAACCCCAAATACAGTTAGATCCTTCCATCTTCAATCCAAAATTTGAACCTTCAGAATCTGGGGGTTTGATGTCATGTTAGATGGATGACATACTACTCCTAGTATGGAAGATATGATGATCAAGGAGGTTCCAGTATACTGCGTTTCTCAGTAAACCCTATGTGATGGAAATTCTGTATCAGTAATCAAAATAACTGAAAGGTCACAATTCTATAGAAGGCAAGACCTGTTTCTTTTTTATTGATGAACACAATACTCTTATAACCAAAACTGTAATTGGATGAAGTCGGAAATATAATATACAGATGAGACAAAAAAGGTCATTACCCAATATAGGAAAGATGTTTTAATAATGATCCAACAATATATGATGCATTTAACTGTTATGCATTACCCAATATCCAGGCGTACGGCTCCCACGCCTTTTAAAACACTGGTTTCATCCTTTTTCCCCTCTTTTATTTTCATATGGGATCTGCATGACATGAAGTGCTTTCCCTTCCCCTGGTATCTGTTAGGTGGTATCCTTGATTTTTCACCTTGGAATATTCAGATCCATTTTTGTCTTCTATTTATGGAAGTTTGTTTTGATTCTTTGTCCTCATGTATTTAGTGCAACTTTTCAACCAATAATTGAGAATAATCTTCTCTTTTTTTTTACCTTTTGAAAGCGGAAAATATATTAATCTTTCTTTTCTTGTTCCTTTTACCCTTTTCTTCCTGTAAAGATTCAGAACAAGTTTCCTTTTCCTTCTTAGTAAATTTAGTGAATTTTTCAGGTATGGAAGCTCGGTATAATTGTTGCAGGGCGATTCACAAATATCTATCGACTGCAAATAAGCTTGTCAGTGATCCTGTGCTTGCAGGAATAGCTTCAAAGGTGTGGTTTAATTTTATGGATAATAAAAGGCAGCATGATTATTAATTTATTATGGTATGGAAAAAGAAAGAAGTATTTTTGTTTTCCTTTTTTTTTTTTTTGGGGGGGGGTGTTGAGGTGTATTTAGAGCTAATCAGTTAAACATATTTGACATATCTAATCAGAAATTTTCTCGTCCTCAGTTGCAGGAAGCTGTTAGGAGAGGTCCTTATCTTGCTTTAGAGCGTGCTGAAGCTCAGCTTGTTGTCGTTACAGCTGAGAGATTTTAGATCACCATCGGAAATTTTGAGTTATAAAATAGATTTAACAGGGATTTGATTCGAAGGGGCAAAAAATTGGTGTCTGTTGTACATATTACTGTAATCTTGTTGGGTTGTCAACTTTAATATAGTTAAAACGAAACTAGTAACTCGAAATACTGTTTATGAAATCTTTTCCATGTTATCTTGTAGTCTGGTTTGTGGCCTGTTTGGAAAAGATGGGCCATGGAACATACCTATTATCACGAACTGGAGAAACTAGCTGCTTGGTTCAGGTGAGGAACTGGTTACCCGGTCGTTCTGTTATGCCTGAATGCTGTTATTCTTACCCAATCCTTTGAGAAATGTGATACAGTTTACAGTAGAAGTTGGCTGTTGTCGCTTTGGAGCAAAATGAAAATTGTTTCAGGTGCCGTTGTCATATTGAATCCACCCTGTTATCACTTTTTCCTAGGTCTTCATGTCAGAGTTTTATCTAGAATTTTCGGTGCACATCTTCTAGTCCCTTACTGGCATTTTATTCACCATTCTGGAGTTCCCACACTAAAAGCTGCGGATGTTCATTTAAGCAAATTAACCCATTCAATTTGCTGGATTATTAGGTTATGACAATCTATTGCTCACGTTTGACATTCTTGTATAGGTTCAATTACTAGTTTCTAATTTTTTATCAAGAAAAGGAATGATGCATTCGGTGTTACCCCACCTTCCCCCCCCCCCCCCCCAAAAAAAAAAAAGAAAAAAAAATTAATAATGGAAGGAGATCAATGGTTAGAAGAGCCTATTTTTGCAGGCTAATAGTGTCCCATGAAGCAAGGTTCAAAGTATCGAAAATGTTATGCATATTGAAAAGGCAAATTTAAGAGACTTATTGGGATATGCCTTGGATACAGATGAAAAATTAAGATACACGTGGGAATACATGAAAATGCTATAAATATTCCAATAAATCATAAATAAACATCAATATCACTAAATATAAGATATAAATGAGTTATTTATGCATAAAAATAGAACATTTTAGTGGGTTTTATGAAAAAAAATATATATTATAATCAATATACGGGAATAGAAATATACTATCTAATTCTGATTTTTTAACTTTCATTCTAATTTTCTAAAATTGAATGGACTTATGGACATGATAGATCAAAGTAATTATTTTGCATGTTTCATTCTAATTTTCTAAAAATAAATAATTGTTTATTTTTATTCAAATAATTATTTTACATGTTTTATTCTAAAAATTAAATTAAAATTAAGACTAAGTAAATATGTAACAGAAAAATTGAATGGATTTATGGACATAATAGATCATCTACATTTTTACTATAAATATTTATTATTAGAATTTAGAACATAGCAAAAAATTAGAGAAATAAATAAATATTTATAATCTAAAAATAAAAATAAAAAAAAACAAATTAAATTGTTCACATGATATTTGAATATATTGATGTATGAAATTATGAACCATGTTAGATTTGTCTTAACTCTACAACATGCTCAACTTATAGAATAAAATCACATAAAATTGAAGAAATTATATATATATTCACAAAGATCTACATATAGCAACAAAATAAGTGGTATTTTTTGCATAAGAATAGTAGGTTTTTGTGAATTGGAAACATCTCCTAATGATAACATCGTTTTTTCAGAAAACGGCAATGGGAATCAAACATCACCATGCATTAACATTTTCTCAAAATTTACAAAAAAAAAAAAAACAAGGTGCCATTAAAAAAAAAAAAAAGCACACACACATGCAATGGAACCAAACACTAATACTCGAGTACATCATTCACTCATGCCCATGATCATCCCTGGAGAGCAAATAAGGCCGGGTTGGCTCAGCTGTTCAGGTTGAGGTTGACCCTAGCCCAACCTAATAAATGATGTGCCAAAATCTCTATTTAACCATGATCCAGCTCAATCTTCAACTAGTGTTATTAACCCACTGAGATTGGGTTGGGTTTGGTTTGTTATCAAATTTCGTGTGAATATACAGTAATAAATTCATGTAAGTATTTACTTGTGAAAATAATGAAAAGATATCAAGTTCACGAGGGTTTTTGATTGGTCAAAGCTCTCTCTTTATCATATTTTTCGTGCATTATAGATTTTTTCTAATGATATGTTACAATGAATTACCTTTATCATCATCCTCTCTCTCCTTCCAGCTTCCACGCTATTCTCATTCCCCCACCTATTTGGCTCATACAAGAATTGGAAACGAAATTGATTGTAATGTGATTCTCATTCCTAATGGAGGGTGAAGAAATAATTATTCTCTCAAATGGGGGAATGCCATTCCATTAAGGGGGTGTTCTTCCAAGAATCTCATGTTCTTTTTTCAACTTTATGTGGGGACAAGAGAAAGTTTATTTTCCTGCAGAAAAGTGATACCCATCTCCTAGGTGAGTAAATAACTTTCCCACATAAGGGGAAAGTTTCTAACACTTGAGTAGGATAAAAATGTCCCTTTTAATAATGGATTTCTATGGCTAAAATGTTCATTGCCTTATTTACCTGAGAAATAAAAGAACATGGATAAATGCACTTACCTGGGTAAGTGTTTGGTAAGTGTTTTCCAGGAAAAACTTACCCATGTAATTATTGCATTTACTCGAGTAAGTAACTTACCAAAAAGTGAATGGGGCCTAAGAATAAGAATAAGATTTTGCTTTCACCCAACCAAACGATTAAAATGAAATAAACCCTTCCAATTTCAATCACACTCTAATTCCCAAAAATCAAACAGACCCTAAGTGTAATACATTGGATTTAATTTGGCTCGGGTTACCCTAGGCATTAACCCTAACCCTAATCCTAACCCAATTTGACTTTGTATTAGGTTGGAAGCAACCCAACCCTATTTGGTTTAGATCGTCTCAACGTAAGGATCCTTGCCTCCCTTCCCTTTTTCCACTATGGATATGTTGGCATGTACTAAAAAAGCTTGACTCATCCTAATTAAGCCCCTTTTATTGTGGGCATGCTCTAAAGTTAAAACATCAAAAATTCAAAATTGTAGACGGCTACTGTTACTAAAACAAAATCTCAATATTACCCGATTTCCTAGTCGTTGGTTCGACCCATCCAATAAATAGGCCTGAATTTTAGGTTTGGGCCCAGTGCCAGGGTAAAAAATCGGCATTCCAAGCCCACCACCCGAAAGGGCCAAAGATCCAGTGCCTAGTGAACCAGACCCTAATTTCAGCTGATAAATTCCAAAATACTTTACCCAGATTTTGTGTTAAAATATTTTGCAGAACTTGTTACTAGAAATTTTGGAATGTAAAAACTTTAGCCTTTACAATATTACAAACAGCACCTTAATATCCTTGTTTTTTTAGGATAAAATATGAAAACCTCTACTGAGGTTTCTCGCATTCATAAAAACCTCTGACATTTAATTTTAAAAGTTTACTACAATACCCCTTAAAAGAATTTTTCAATTTTAATTAAAAATCCTTTAATCAGATTGAAAAAATAATAATTTCACTCTATAAAAACATTAGGTCTAGTGAAGTCTGGAAGGGTAAATCTGGTATTTTACTTTATTTTAAAAGATGCTTTAATAATTTGTAAGGGTAATTTAGTGACTTTGAAGTCTCCATTACTGGAACTAAGATGGATGAGAGGTAATTGCAGGTTTTTGTGAAGCTATAAGAGAGATTTTTGTAAGGCTTAGTCTAGAAGTACAAATACAAATTTTATTGTAGAGTGTAAAACCTTGTATTTTATATCGCTAGTAAGTATGCACATACTTTGCACGTGGGAATTCTAGATCTGATTATGTAGCACTTCATATTGGGCTGCAAAGTTTTGGTATCATTGATAGCCTACCTACTTGGTGGTCTTCTTTTTGTAATGTTTTATCTTCTTAGTGTATTTTTTTTGTTCATTTATCAAAAAAAAAAAGATTTAAAGAGAGAAATTTGAATTAAGTGAAAATTGTTGTTCAAACTACATTTTAAACCTCACAATTAAATAGGGATTAAATTTGAAAAATGAGTATTTTAGTCAAAAGAAAACTCCACAATCTTATTCAATTTTTTAATAGTAGTGTAAATATGGAGTTATAGATGTGTTCAGTTTTTTTTCTATATTTTTTATTTCTATGTGTGTAAAAATAATACTGTTATGTACACTTATTCTTTTGTTTAACATAATAAATATATGATATTGTACATGTGCCCAAATGTTTTTTTTTAATTTATGTATTTTTTATTTTTATGTTTTTTATATTTTATTAATTTTTATTATTTAATTATGACATAAAGGTTGGCAAATTTGACCTGAAAGTTGAACTATTAATCTCCTCTAAAAAGGAAAATAATTTCATTTTTTGTTAGTTTTAGATTATGTATTTCATTTTCATCATCAATAAAAATAATTCTTATTTATTACACTTATTTTTTTAATTTGGTTAATAAAAATATCATAAATGTGTCTATTTTTTCTACATTTTTGTAGTTTTTTATATTTATTTCTATTTAAAAACTCTATTATCTAACTATGACTTCATGGATTGACCAACTTGACTCGGATGGTTGAATTGCTTAGTCATCATTTGGGTAAAGAATGGTTTTGTTTTTGAGTAATTTTTAAAATATATGGGTTTATATTGTTAAAAGTTTTGGACATAGATCTAATTAGTAGCATATATTGGTGAAAAATAAATTAAATATAGAATTTAATAAGAGAGAATGAGAGTTAATACCTTAAATACAAGAGGTAATGAGAGGGGATTAAATGAAGTGAAAATCATTAATTGAAATTACATTTTCAACATTCATAATTAGAGGTGGACTAAATAACAAATGTGGGCATTTTAGTCAAGAAAAGTTTCGCACCCTTATTCATACTTTTTATAATAGTATAGATATAGATTTTTAGGGTAAATTGTTGAAACCTCCCTTGAAGTTTATGACCATTGTTGAAATCTTCCCTGAAGTTTGGTAATTGCAATTACCTCCCCTAAACTTTCTAACACAGTTGCAAAGTAGACCTCCTCTATTGGAATCTTTTGGCTAGAAGCACATAAATGTCCAAAATACCTATGCAGTTACAATTGAGGTTAGTTTCTACAAGAAAACAAAACAATACAAACTTTATAAACAACAAAAAAAGAAAGAATTTAAAATTGTAGTTTTACCCAAGGATTAAAGTATTAGTATCGGGTATCATATTAGATAGCTTGGATGCGAATGCAAATATGGATACGCTTTGGAAATGCATAGATACGGATGACAAATATGGAAATGCTTGAATATGATAGGAAAACATATAAAAAATTCATAAATATATTAATAATATTAAATTTAAGGTGAAATAACAACAAATAATGTATATATATAATATATTTTAATGATGTATATGAAAGAATATATTACAATTAATGTAATATGATGCATAGATACCAAAAAATTTTATTGATAATGTATCAATCAAGGATCCAAAATGTAAAACATATGATCCTACTATATTTTAATTATTATATCAGTTATTCTCTATTTTAATATTTTTACATTAACAAAGAAGTCAACTGAATATTAAATTATTAAATATCAATCAAAATATCAATTAATATTTATAAAATATATAATCTCAACCTAAATTATATCAAATATATTAAAAATTTTAAGATACATATCATATTCAAATTCACAATTTTTAACTACTAAAATGATTATTTCATTATTAATATTTTTATTTCTATAAATTTTTAAAATAAAAAATCTTTTTTTATATAAACGTAGATTAGTAGATTTGATAGATTCAATTTAATTTTATCTTCTTGAAGATTTTATAAACAATTTTTATTTTTGCAAATAATAAACATGTTGTAATTAAATGTAAATTAAAATATTAATTAATAATTTAAAAATTATATAAAATTTTAAAATACATAGTCTTTTCAAATTTATAAATTTTAGGTACTAAAATAATTATTCTATTATTAATATTTTTATTTTTATAATTTTTCTAAAGTTAAAAATATTTTTTTGATACGGATGTATATTAGTAGACTAAGGCATGTGCAAAGCTATAAATTTTAAGTATTAAAATATTTATTCTATTATTAATATTATATTTGTATAAATTTCTTGAAATTGAAATAATCTTTTGAAACAAATGTGGATTTGATATATTATTTATTCCACATTTTATAAAATTCTAATTTTGAATATTATTTTTTTATTCTTATTTGGAGTTGTTAAACATAAATATTTAATATGTATTTGGATTGCCTTTCGACAATAATAATAAAGGTTATTTTATTTTACACATTCACATAAGTGTTGGGATAACTTCATGACTTAAGAGTGGGTGCATTAGGCATATTATTGTTATCCCCCTATCGCTAGTATCATATTGATATTTCAATCCTTTGTTTTATCTTTGAGCAATTAATATGCATGACAAATTTGCAACTGCATGGGTATTTCGGATATTTTCATGCCTCTTTTTATAGGATTCTAACAAAGGGGGTCCACTTGCAACTATATTAAAAAGTTAAGGGGAGGTGATTGTAATTACCAAACTAGATGAGAGACCTCAACAATTTACCCCATGTACATATTTGTACTCTTTTCTAGGGTAAGCTAATGGGTAGGTTCTACTTGGAACCAAATGGAACTGACCCTACCCAATCTGTTATAGGGTAGGGTTTGGTTCCAAATTCTTGGAACCAACCCCCACCAAGGCCGATTACAGGGTCTAGGGGTTTACCCTATCCAAAGTGACCAATGAACCGAAGTTGTCTTGAAATAACTCCTAAAACATTTTTAAAGATGTGAAAATTTGAACCTAAGACTCATGGTTCAAAAGCCATGGTCTCAATTGACAATTAAGTTCATTTTTAATATTTGAATGTATATAATAAATAATGTAAATGGTAATATTTACAAAATTTAAATTATAATAACAAATTTTGAATCATATATTAATATATTATGATAATATACATATTAAATTACTCAATTTAATCAATCAAAATAATATAAAATTTAAATTATATATTATCATTATTAAAAATCAAATTTTTAAAAAACATATTTCATTCTTTTTTTAAGGGGAAAATAAAAAAAGGAACAAATTCTATGAATAAAACCCTAAAAGGCTAAAACCAGCCGCGAACTACCAAGGCTAAAAGTAAAACCTGAGGTATGTTATTATGATTGTCAAAAATTTTAGGAGAGGTTTTTATACTTTACTCTCTTATTTAATAAAATCGGTCGGTTTTTAAAAAGGATAAACTTATAACTGAAGGGCAAAAGTGCAAAAGAGAGTATGCTGACGTTTCTGGGAGACTGAGCTCTTCTCTTCCCACCCTTTTCTATCCGGATAGGGAGATAAAGCAACAAAGAAAATAGTTAGAAGGTCCGACTCTGAGTCTGAGGGAGACAGAGAGTGAAAAGAAATGGGTGTTCTTCACTGCATCTCTTCTTGCGTGGTTCTTCCTTGCAAGCCCAGAAAATTTTCCATCACTACTTCTTCTCTTATCCAGGCAAATCCAGCACCTTTCAGGTCCCTCAGCTTCTCCACAAATCTCTCAAAGAATGCCTTCTGTAAAGGTACAAATAGATACAACATTCTTTTCGTCTATTCTTATCAACTCACCTCCTTTATTTCCTATTGTTTCCTCTCTGGTTTTCTCCTCCATTGTGTTACTCACTGGTTTATGGGTATCTCTTCTGCTTTGCTCGCTGACGAATTGAACTTTGAAACTGTGAGTTTACCTCTTTCAGGGAGTTTTACAGTGAAGCCTATCGAGAGGCAAACCCGTAGGTCTGTTGTTTGCGAAGCATCTCCGAAGAAAAAAGCTGATTCCGCTGCGAAGAGAGCTCGCCAAGCTGAGAAAAGGCGCATCTATAACAAAGCACGGAAATCCGAGGTTAAGACTCGGATGAAGAAGGTACCTTTTTCACATATTGATGTTCAATTGATGAGTTTCCTCTGACTATCAATTTTTGCGAAGATATTTTTGCATTTATCCATCCTTTTAGCTACTTTTCTTTGTCGAATTTCATGAAAGTATGTTGTAGTTTTTCATGTTTCTTCAGAGAATTGTCCTTCAAAGAGTGTTTAGATAGTTCCACAACAATAACCCTTGCTCGAGTATTTTGATCCTTGCTCTGGTGTCTAGTAAATACCACTTACCACAGACTTGGAGTGGCAATTATGTCCACAAAGTGTTAGTTGAAGTGCGGATGATCAAAATTTATCAAAAAAAAAAAAAAAAGTGTGGATGATCAAAATCTTGTTAAGTGCAGCAGCTACACAAATCTTGTTGTGCCATTTCACTTTACCAAGGGCTGTATCCTATGCCTAGTTGCAAGTTCTCAGATCATCATTTCTTTCCTCTGGCTCATCTAAAACCATTAACTTTTATCAGATTACTCCTTATTACTACAATACTTAGTTAGCGCATGACTTAAATATCTTAGTTTACTTTCCCTCTTTTTTTTTTTTTTGAAAAAGATGGTAACTTTATTACAGAAAAAAAGAAAAAAAGCGGGTACATAAGAAGATGTACACAGAAATTACAACTCAAGAGTTAAGTAGGAAGAGAACTATCACTGAACAAGACATCTCTGTAAACACCAGCTTTTGCTAGACCATCCGCATCAGTGTTTAGCTCCCTAGGGATCCAACCCAGCTGTGCATTTAGGTTAAGAAGGATATCTTAGTTTACTTTCCCTCATTTTGCATCCATGGGAGCTGCTCCTAGATTCTTATAAGTGTATTAATTTCAGACTTGGTCCTTCTAGTCTTACAATTCATCCAGTTAACCATCCTTTTCTCTACTGTACTTCGGTGGTGTTTGATAGCTGCTAAAGCAGGCATTAAAAGAAGAATGTGGGAAATAAATTTGGTGTCTTTTTAGCAATCTACTTTAAGTACCTGTTTCATAAGTTATCGGACACCACCTTATGCCTGATATACTGAAGATTATGGTCCATATATATAGCATATTCAACGACTATTAGGATGAGGACAATGTATAGATGATCCTTAGACTTTGGTGCAACATATGTGCCAAAGTGGCCTTGTGTTCATGTTCTAGTTATTTGGAGACTTGTCAAACCATACTGGGGGGTTATAGGGAAGTCATAGATCTGGAGGCCAAGGAGAAGGCAAGTTGACTCTCACAACCTCCTGCACCATGTTATTTTTATCTTGTTTCATCTGATTGTTGTACAGGTCTTATATTTTACTTCTTATTTGACTATTGGGCTACTATCCTAATATACTGATACATGGCAACTTGGTTATCTTCTTAGGGAAAGAAAAGATGCATCATTATTGGATTTTCTTGCAGTGCAAGCTGGTTGGATCTTAAATTTGTGTTTGTTCAGGGTTGAGAGATATGTTCTGTTTGATGTTTGTGAAAATTTGATGAGAATGAGTCGTTGGTGCAGAAGAATGCAAGGAGAAGATTTAATATGTCAGTTCATTGAATCTTCTCATCATCTTTGTTTCCATTGTAGGCATTAATGATATCTACATAAAAGGACATGCTTAAAAAATGAAATCCAGAAATATCCATCAATTTCCTATGAGGTGACATGCTTTGGTAAATCTGAGATTGTTACATACCACAAATTCTTAGCTGATAGCTGGGGCCAATATTTGGTGATGGCCTTTTATCTATAACATATTGCAAATAAAAATAGTGACTTAATATGCATAAGGAGTCTTGAGCTCCATCATGAGGGTTGCATGTCAGAATGCAAGTTATCCACCAAATGGTAAAGGAGTATATGACTACTGTTCAAGTATGATTTATGCAGTTCTTTTGGTTATATATGTTGTACAAGAGTTCTTAAAGTTTTGATTTATTACCATTATACCATTTGTCCTTAACCAGGAAGATGAATATTTTTTGTCCTTGAAGAAAGGATTTGGGTTATAGCATATACAAAGATACAACTTTATTCAGCTACCAAAGATAGAGACTTCATATCTTGTAATGCATCTAGATTTAGTCTAATTGTAGGAGACTAAGAGTATCTTACTACAGAGGAATATGTTTTCATTTTACTCATTTTTTTTGGTAATTTTTCATTTCACTCATTTTATTTTATTTTTTGATCAATAATAATGAACTTTTATTAATAAAGATTGAGATTATCAGAGTTACAGAGGAGGGAGCTAAAGAATCTTAACTCCCAACTACCCAAGGTACATTCTGACCATGAAGCAATTACAATTACAAATACAAAGCAGCCCAGAACATAGTATTTCTGTTTACCCCTTGTTTAGCTAGACCATCTGCCAATGCATTTGCAATTCTCTTTATCCATGTACAATGTATTTCCACGTCCTTGGTGAACCACTTGAACTTACTCTTTTCATTGTTGTATTTCCAGAGCTTAGAACTGTCCTCTATTTGTCAATTCACCACAATTTCAGAATCACCTTCTATAATCAACTTTTTAATATTCAGTTCTTACAATGCATTTGCAATTTTTCATTTCACTCATTTAAGCCCATAATTTTGAACAGACTAAAAAAAGTCCATAATATTGCAATTTATCATATTCCCATGAAGTCATAAATTTGTAATGGTGAAATATCTGAGCTTATGAAATTGTCTTTTCATGTCTGCAGTGGTTGTAGTCTTGTAGATGAAAGTATCATACCTTATATTTATGGTCTAAGTGCATGGACACTCATTCATGTGTACAGGGAAAAAAAAACTAGTAGATCTTCTAGTTAACAAGCAATATTTTCAGCTTAATGCACGGTGGAACTGTTAGTGATTAAGTACATGGAAACTGAACCATGTGCGTTTTCTATGTATTTACTGTAAGTTTGAAATTATGTAGTTTTTTGAGTAGGTTTGTTTCCATCTCTTCTTTTTTGTATTCAAGAATGTATTTGAGCTCATTATTGGACATGGTTGGGTAGAACCAAGTGTTTTTGTACTAGTTATCCTTCTTCTCTGATTCAGAGGGCTAACAGTAACAGCTTTAAGAAAAAAGGAAGAGGCTTAAATGCCTAAAGAAATGATAGGAAGTAAGGAAAAAGAAAATTGGATCAACCAAGTCATTAAATGCAATAAAAGATAAATATGGATGTTGAATGCTTGACATGTGCGCAATAAAAAAAATGATTGACATGTGCGCATAAAAAAATGGTTGACATGTGATTCATGACATCTATTACAGGTTTTGGAAGCACTAGATGTGCTTAGGAAGAAAGCTGATGCTCAAACTGAGGAAATTCTTCCAATTGAAAAGTTGATAGCTGAAGCTTACTCAGTCATTGATAAGGCAGTCAAGGTGGGAACACTGCACAGAAACACTGGAGCCCGCAGGAAATCTCGGCTTGCCAGAAGAAAGAAGGCTGTGGAGATCCACCATGGGTGGTATACCCCTCCTGCTGTAACTGCCTAACCAAACCTGGCGATTGGTATCTTGCCAGGTGAGAGTAGCATGGTTAAAAGAAAGCAATTGTTTCTTTTTTCCTTTTATGCTGAGGAGACACCTATTTCATTTTTGTTAGTGCACTGTATCTCTTTATTCCATTCAGAAAATGATATATTGTTTCTTTTGTCTCTTAATTATTATATATTTTTGGTATTACATATTACACATTACAGGGGGATTAAGGGGTGGGGATAGAGCAGAGTTCATGAGAAATCCACTGACCTTACCACGGAGAGCCTGCAATTACACTGATTTAATCTCGTGCCTCTGTTTTTGGAGAGACACTGAGTGACCATGGGGTGGAGTCCCTATATGTCTGCCTATGCCAAATCTTCCTTACCTAGAAGCCCCTTCATGTGTGGTCAGTTGGAATTCAGGTTGTCAATGATATATCCAATTGCCCAAAAATGAATTCGAGGTTAAGATGGATTTGGATCTCAAAAGTCAGGTCCATATATAATTTGATCAAATTTGGATCCACCTAATATGTTACCATATGATCAGATTTATGTTTGTTAGCAAGGTCAGTTTAGTAGGTATTACATTTTCACAAAAGGGTCATGGATTCAAGTCTGATGCAAGTTATTTGGAATTTATTTTATTAATTACAGAATATGTAAATTATAATTTATTTGGACGTTGAAACTCTTGTCCTAAAAGATCAGCAAGAGCAAGAAACTTCTGATGCTACCGACTGAAGGCTTTGACCAGCTCCCCTTGCGGCCTTGCCTTGGTCAAGGAATTGAAACATGCATAGAATCAATCTATGAATGTGGCAGTACTATGGTTGAAACTACAGAACTTGTATTTTATCATGTTTAATGGTTTGAAATACATAAGCGAGTCTACAGAAGTGAAGTTGATTCACTGAGCAGTTGACATCATCTGATGTTTCAGAAAGAATTCCCCGGTGAATGGCACTCCCTTGAAATTGGCAGGAATTTAAATTTAGGGAAAATTCCCGATTGGTACCCTGTACTTTGGTCCTAGTGCCACTTTGGTCTCTGAACTTTTAAGACGTGGCAATTCAACTTTCAAAATGTGTCAATCTAGTACCTACCATCAATGGACTGTCAGTTATATGTATCATGTGATGACATGTGCAAATTAAATATTTTGAAAATGACAAAATTACCCTTTAAAACACTGCTCATCATCTTCTTATACAGAAATAAGACATTGTTCATGTGTATCCATGACATGTTGACACCGTTGTCACATGCCATTAGGTGTCCGTCTACTGACAAACTCAGGAAGATGGCATAACCCAGGAAATGGCTTGACCCTGTGAAGTATTTATAGTCTGTTTCAGTATGTTGAAACTTGAAAGTTGAGTCACGGGTTAGTTCTTTTGGCGAATAGCAAAAAGAAAGAGATAACAAAGTTTTGTGCTTGTGCAAGAGTTCTTCGGTAAAGGTGAGCATAGCCATATTCCCTCCAAATATAGTCTTTTGATTTGTTATGGTGTAAATGTAATGGGTAGTGTTTTTAGAGACTTCCTGTGCTTGTGCTTGTACTTTGCTTTGCTTCATACTGCTGCTGGGTTGAGCTTTGATGGAGAATCTCAACTTTCACTATTGAAAGACTTGGTTGTACCTCCCTCAATCAAGTTGAGCTGGAATTCAAACGATTCCACTCCATGTAACTGGCATGGGATTCAATGTGATGGCCTGAAAGTCTGAAACAGAATGTGATCTCTCTGAACCTGTTGGGTCTGCAAATCTCTGGTTCATTGGAGATTGGCCAGCTGAGATCTCTCAAGATGCTTGACCTTAATGCCAACAATTTTTCGGGTTTGATCTCAACAAATCTCTGGTTCACTTAATGGCTGATTAACGGTATGTACTAAATTGGCATATTTTGAACATTCGGGTACTAAATTGTCACGATTTAAAGTTTGATGACTAAAGTGGCACCAGACCCAAAGTACAGGGTACTAATTGAGAATTTTCCCTTTAATTTATATACATCTAATCAGGTCTACAACGTTTTTTATTTGTCTGAAGCTCATTCCAATCCCTCACTCCAGAAAATAATAAAACACAAAAAAAATGTGTATGTGTGTGTGAGAGAGAGAAGGTAGTATTGATCTTTGCAAATTATGGTCCATCCTCTGGGCCTCTGTAGGCCAGGAGGTCCCCTTAGGAGTCTAAGACCTCCCATCTTCACCCCAACAACAATATGAGTAGCATATTTTTCAATATAAACCTATAAGAATCATGTTATGGAAGGAAAACTAAAAAAGCATGCCTTTTTTTTTTAAAAAAAAAAAAAAAAAACAAACAAACAAACATCCATAGAATCTGTGTCATGTTCAAAATATACTAAGAATCTTTCCATGGTCACGTTGGTTAAGAGACCCATGAAAAAAAATAAAGAAAAAGTACAAGAAAAATAAAACTACCGGAAAATATAAAGAGAGCACTATTTTTGTTTGGAAAATAAGAAATACAATAAATCAATACAGACAGAGCCATGCATATCCATATTTACTTGAGGAAAAATCTTCAACTTATATTATTCTTTCAGCTATAGTACTATGTAAAGAACCAACCTGTTTCTTTTTTATGCATCAACATTTGGCAAGCAATAGATGTTCAAAATTGATATCACTGCATATGCAGGTAGGGTGTGTGAGTGGGTGATGAGCATTTAAATCTACCACATAAGTTTCAGTTTTGTATGGTTCCCTTTATATCATACCTGATGCCTATGTATAAAACCTTGCTGGCTATGGGTAAAGGGACCATACGAATTGTGGAAACCTTGCTGCATAATAAGAAAGTATTAGCCAGTAATGTTTGAAATGAACTGTGGAAGATATAGGTAAAGGGAAGTATCTGTCTATATGATATCAACCTTTTACTGGAAAATCTTACCCAGAAAGAGCAGTAGGGTCCCATGAAGATGGAATTTCTTGTTTCACAGACTCACTCGGTACTATTTGACATCTTGGCAACTTAATATTGTACCTGCATCCTTGTGCCAGCAACCTTGGAAATTAAACATTGCATTGAATAGGCCAGGGATTTTGCCTGATAAGGGTAGTTCTTGGTTTAATTACTATATAATATAAAAATTAAATAAAATCCAACCATATAATATAGAGGGTGTTTGGTCTCGTTTACGTTTATGGGTGACCGTTTATTTGTGTTTTTTCACTTTATACGTTTTTTACTTTAAACGTTTTCTGTTTTTGTTGTTTGGTTGGGCTTCACTTTAAACGTTTTTTATTGTCCACCTCAGATTAATACCCATTAAAGTGTGACACATCCACATTTGGTTTCAAGAAACACTGGGACGTTGGGGGAAACAAGAATTTGGCGTTTTCCCAAATGCCCCATGCACAAAAATCAAAGTGTTTCAATTTTTTACTATTTATTTGATAAATGATGAAATCAAACAATTGTTTCATTTTGCCTCATATGCAATAAATACCAAACACGTAATGATACTTCCAAAAATACGTGCACGAGAGAGAGAAGAAAACAAAGATGATGTCACGATTAATTGGGTCAATCCAATGGTCGGATCACTTGACCCATTGAAAATATACACAAATAACTGGTAGGAGGTGCAATTTGGTTGGACTTGGGTTAGATTTTGTTAAAATTGGAATGGGCCTAGCCCAAAAACCCAAAACTGATGCAGTGCAAAATCTTCAAATCGGGTTGTGAACTTGCACCCCCAACTAACTAAAAAGCAGTCAACCAAGTGATCTATCATCCATGGTGTATGTTTGCCAAATAGACTAACTGACGATACTTTTAAGTTCTAATATCTTATCATCTTCCCTTTTCATATTTGTTTCTATGTATTTATTCTTTTGCAATTGATACTTCACTTTATTCATAATTATGATAATGAAACATGCTGAAGATTATTAAGGCTTTGGTTCCCATTTGTCCACAATTCTAATTCTAGATTGAGATTGTCCAGCTGCATATAAAAGTAAAGAAAAATCAGTGATAACTATTGGAAAATGATATTCCATGAGAAATTGACTCATATTCCTGATTTATCCCAAAGTTGCAATATATGTATCAAGAGGACCAATCACTATTTGAAAAATGATTTATAAAAATTAGAGAGTGTTATCATTTTTAATTTGGATTAGCTGAACAAAATGATGTTTAGTGGGCTGTGGAATTAATGATAACGTCTCATGCCAATCATAAATGTTAAGTGAGACATAGAATGATTGTGGGCTCTATGCATTTATAACTGGCATTGCCCACTGAACAGCCATTGTATTCAGTTAATTTCTATCACTTTCTAGTACTCATTTTCCTAATCAATTTACAGGCAATCAGAGGACATAAGGGGGTTGTTTGATAACGGCTGAAGTTATTAAACTGAATACTTTTTTTTTTTTTGCTTTCCCTTTTATTGGATAAAAATGATTAAACAATAAAGTATTCAAAAGTATAAAGATCTACCCAACTTCAGCTTCAGCTAATGATCCACTTAAAATTTTATTAAAAGATAAAATAACAAGATTTTCAGTTCAGCTACTTCAACTGTTATCAAATGGCGCCCAAATTGTGGTTCCCATTTCATCCAATCCACCATCCATGGGTATCAAGTAATCTTTGTTAACATCTTTATTGCTATTAATTTGCTCAAACATAACTCCACTTTATTAAAAAAAAAGTACCTCTACTTTGCTATTTACAAGTGAAAATTCCTGGCTTGGGCCTTGGCCCATTGGCCCCTAAACGAAAACTCAAAATGGGCTGGGCATTTGGGCCCTAAATAGGCAGATCCGGCCTTAAAATTTGCAGGCAGGGCTAGAAACAATCACATGTAGGTGTTAGTGATAAGGCTGTCAATAGGTCGGGTCTGCCTGATAGAACTGAACTGACTGAACCAATTATGTTGGCTCTGGTTCTATGATTTTGTCCTGATTAATAATTGGATTATGACCAATTCTTGCTGTTCTGAATCAATTAAGAACCAAACTGATTATATAGTTAATAATTGTATAAGGCTCTCCTGGTTTTTCCTTGTAATTTTTTTTTATATTTTGTCTAAAAGGATAAATATAATAGAGAGTATATAATTATAAAACACTTGTTTTATCAACATATATAGATAGTTCACTATTTTACTTTCATTATTAGTATTATATTTATATTAT